ATCCGGAATTTGGGGAATTTTTATCCCTTTCTTTCACGATTTGAAATTTTTGGGAGTTTAGTTTGATGAATATTTAATAGCAATATATCTTAGATATCGAATTGTCTGTGTTAGGTATTTTTGTATATCGTTATATCCCTATTTCTGCTTTTAATATTGCATCCGGAATTTGGGGAATTTTTATCCCTTTCTTTCACGATTTGAAATTTTTGGGAGTTTAGTTTGATGAATATTTAATAGCAATATATCTTAGATATCGAATTGTCTGTGTTAGGTATTTTTGTATATCGTTATATCCCTATTTCTGCTTTTAATATTGCATCCGGAATTTGGGGAATTTTTATCCCTTTCTTTCACGATTTGAAATTTTTGGGAGTTTAGTTTGATGAATATTTAATAGCAATATATCTTAGATATCGAATTGTCTGTGTTAGGTATTTTTGTATATCGTTATATCCCTATTTCTGCTTTTAATATTGCATCCGGAATTTGGGGAATTTTTATCCCTTTCTTTCACGATTTGAAATTTTTGGGAGTTTAGTTTGATGAATATTTAATAGCAATATATCTTAGATATCGAATTGTCTGTGTTAGGTATTTTTGTATATCGTTATATCCCTATTTCTGCTTTTAATATTGCATCCGGAATTTGGGGAATTTTTATCCCTTTCTTTCACGATTTGAAATTTTTGGGAGTTTAGTTTGATGAATATTTAATAGCAATATATCTTAGATATCGAATTGTCTGTGTTAGGTATTTTTGTATATCGTTATATCCCTATTTCTGCTTTTAATATTGCATCCGGAATTTGGGGAATTTTTATCCCTTTCTTTCACGATTTGAAATTTTTGGGAGTTTAGTTTGATGAATATTTAATAGCAATATATCTTAGATATCGAATTGTCTGTGTTAGGTATTTTTGTATATCGTTATATCCCTATTTCTGCTTTTAATATTGCATCCGGAATTTGGGGAATTTTTATCCCTTTCTTTCACGATTTGAAATTTTTGGGAGTTTAGTTTGATGAATATTTAATAGCAATATATCTTAGATATCGAATTGTCTGTGTTAGGTATTTTTGTATATCGTTATATCCCTATTTCTGCTTTTAATATTGCATCCGGAATTTGGGGAATTTTTATCCCTTTCTTTCACGATTTGAAATTTTTGGGAGTTTAGTTTGATGAATATTTAATAGCAATATATCTTAGATATCGAATTGTCTGTGTTAGGTATTTTTGTATATCGTTATATCCCTATTTCTGCTTTTAATATTGCATCCGGAATTTGGGGAATTTTTATCCCTTTCTTTCACGATTTGAAATTTTTGGGAGTTTAGTTTGATGAATATTTAATAGCAATATATCTTAGATATCGAATTGTCTGTGTTAGGTATTTTTGTATATCGTTATATCCCTATTTCTGCTTTTAATATTGCATCCGGAATTTGGGGAATTTTTATCCCTTTCTTTCACGATTTGAAATTTTTGGGAGTTTAGTTTGATGAATATTTAATAGCAATATATCTTAGATATCGAATTGTCTGTGTTAGGTATTTTTGTATATCGTTATATCCCTATTTCTGCTTTTAATATTGCATCCGGAATTTGGGGAATTTTTATCCCTTTCTTTCACGATTTGAAATTTTTGGGAGTTTAGTTTGATGAATATTTAATAGCAATATATCTTAGATATCGAATTGTCTGTGTTAGGTATTTTTGTATATCGTTATATCCCTATTTCTGCTTTTAATATTGCATCCGGAATTTGGGGAATTTTTATCCCTTTCTTTCACGATTTGAAATTTTTGGGAGTTTAGTTTGATGAATATTTAATAGCAATATATCTTAGATATCGAATTGTCTGTGTTAGGTATTTTTGTATATCGTTATATCCCTATTTCTGCTTTTAATATTGCATCCGGAATTTGGGGAATTTTTATCCCTTTCTTTCACGATTTGAAATTTTTGGGAGTTTAGTTTGATGAATATTTAATAGCAATATATCTTAGATATCGAATTGTCTGTGTTAGGTATTTTTGTATATCGTTATATCCCTATTTCTGCTTTTAATATTGCATCCGGAATTTGGGGAATTTTTATCCCTTTCTTTCACGATTTGAAATTTTTGGGAGTTTAGTTTGATGAATATTTAATAGCAATATATCTTAGATATCGAATTGTCTGTGTTAGGTATTTTTGTATATCGTTATATCCCTATTTCTGCTTTTAATATTGCATCCGGAATTTGGGGAATTTTTATCCCTTTCTTTCACGATTTGAAATTTTTGGGAGTTTAGTTTGATGAATATTTAATAGCAATATATCTTAGATATCGAATTGTCTGTGTTAGGTATTTTTGTATATCGTTATATCCCTATTTCTGCTTTTAATATTGCATCCGGAATTTGGGGAATTTTTATCCCTTTCTTTCACGATTTGAAATTTTTGGGAGTTTAGTTTGATGAATATTTAATAGCAATATATCTTAGATATCGAATTGTCTGTGTTAGGTATTTTTGTATATCGTTATATCCCTATTTCTGCTTTTAATATTGCATCCGGAATTTGGGGAATTTTTATCCCTTTCTTTCACGATTTGAAATTTTTGGGAGTTTAGTTTGATGAATATTTAATAGCAATATATCTTAGATATCGAATTGTCTGTGTTAGGTATTTTTGTATATCGTTATATCCCTATTTCTGCTTTTAATATTGCATCCGGAATTTGGGGAATTTTTATCCCTTTCTTTCACGATTTGAAATTTTTGGGAGTTTAGTTTGATGAATATTTAATAGCAATATATCTTAGATATCGAATTGTCTGTGTTAGGTATTTTTGTATATCGTTATATCCCTATTTCTGCTTTTAATATTGCATCCGGAATTTGGGGAATTTTTATCCCTTTCTTTCACGATTTGAAATTTTTGGGAGTTTAGTTTGATGAATATTTAATAGCAATATATCTTAGATATCGAATTGTCTGTGTTAGGTATTTTTGTATATCGTTATATCCCTATTTCTGCTTTTAATATTGCATCCGGAATTTGGGGAATTTTTATCCCTTTCTTTCACGATTTGAAATTTTTGGGAGTTTAGTTTGATGAATATTTAATAGCAATATATCTTAGATATCGAATTGTCTGTGTTAGGTATTTTTGTATATCGTTATATCCCTATTTCTGCTTTTAATATTGCATCCGGAATTTGGGGAATTTTTATCCCTTTCTTTCACGATTTGAAATTTTTGGGAGTTTAGTTTGATGAATATTTAATAGGAATATATCTTAGATATCGAATTGTCTGTGTTAGGTATTTTTGTATATCGTTATATCCCTATTTCTGCTTTTAATATTGCATCCCGAATTTGGGGAATTTTTATCCCTTTTCTTCGCGATTTGAAATTTTTGGGAGTTTAGTTTGATGAATATTTAATAGGAATATGTCTTAGATATCGAATTGTCTGTGTTAGGTATTTTTGTATATCGTTATATCCCTATTTCTGCTTTTAATATTGCATCCCGAATTTGGGGAATTTTTATCCCTTTTCTTCGCGATTTGAAATTTTTGGGAGTTTAGTTTGATGAATATTTAATAGGAATATGTCTTAGATATCGAATTGTCTGTGTTAGGTATTTTTGTATATTGTTATATTTTTATTCCTCCCTTTAATATTGCATCCCGAATTTTGGGAATTTTTATCCCTTTCTTTTGCGATTTGAATTTTTTGGGAGTCCAATTATATGAATATTTAGTACGAATATACCTTAGATATAGAATTATCTGTGTTAGATATTTTTGTATATCGTTGTGTTCTTATTTCTCCTTTTAATTTTGCAATCACCACAGTAACGACTTGATAAGAATTTTTGTAAGTTCATAAAGCTTCAGTTCTTAAAGAAAAATATTCCACGTGCAAAGGAAAGTTAGTATTTTAAATTTCGGGAATTTTTAAATTTCCCAAAGCTCCAAATTTAAATTTCGAGAAATTGGAAATTGGCTTCTATCCATATATTGGACATCCATATATATATTTACTGTGGATTGTTTGCACGATTATTATATTGTATGAAAATATATGAGAATGTTTGCTCTAAAAATATTTGGAATGAAAATATTGGGAATTATTAGCGATTAAAATGGTACGAGCAAATTTTGAATCAAAGGAGATTGGGAAGGGAATAGAATTGAATTGAGAAGGAAGTCTGAATTGAAATGGGAATTAGATCTTGTAGGGAAGGCTAAAATGTGAGATGTATAAGGCTCGAATTGAATCAGGTCGTGGGAAACAAAGGAGATTACTGTAATAGTAACGTGTACTAGTTTCTGAAAGGAACGTTGAGAAGCAAAGATGATTGAGGCAAATGAATTTTAAATTGGTGGCTAATTGGAGAAGGGAGGTATAATGTGGGCATGGACCTAGCTTCAAAGAACTGTCTAAAATGTAGGGATGATTGATGTAAATGAATTTTCAATTGCCGAGAAGCTGCAGAATTTAAAATTCATAACAGGGTGAGGATTTAATTAAGCTTGATTAAGAGTCAGTTGACACGAAAGAATTATTCGTGTTAATTATTAATTACACAGTGTATCCTTTGTTCGTATTAATAATTAATTATACAGTGTGTCTCTTGTTCGTATTAATAATTAATTACACAGTGTGTCCCATATTAGAATTAATTATTAAGAGTATTTGTCTCACCTTTACCACTGGCAAAAATTTGTCTGTTAATATTTTACAATTTATAATTATACATATTTATAATAAAAAGAAAAACAGGAAAGAAATTGGCGAAAAATAATTTTTACCGTACGAAGTGTTTCGAGAATAATTTTTGCAATATAAAATTCTTAAAAAATAATTTTTACAATACAAATTGTTTCAAAAATAATTATTACGGTATGGAATTTTTAAAGAATGATTTTCGCGGTACAAGATGCTCAGAGAATAAATTTTTACGGGACAGGAATTTATGTCGGTGTCTTTTTGTCTCACAGGCCCTCGGCCAGGACGTTCTGATGGGGGCCAAGGAAGAAGAATGGGGCAACGCGTTGAGTGTACGAGACAAATCCTCGCTGGGAGTGGTGTTGAGGGATCGTTTGATGACGGATGCCGCCCTCGGAGGTCCACGACCGATCAAGTCCGAGCACAATTACAGTCTGTTGGCGTCGAGTCCTCCTCCAAGTCCCGCGACACCCGGTGCCAACCCCCATACACCTAATTCCGGTTCGTCCGCCGACAGGGTAGGCGCTTCCCTCTCCACCACCAGTTCCTCCATCGATTCTACTAACCTGGATCACCATAAATCTTTGGACATTCGAAGCAGGATCGATGGTGAGAATATACGAAAATTCTTATTCCACTTATAAAGAAAAATACAATTTTGCTGTAAATTTTCGGAGAATTGACAAAGTTCAAATGGAACTTTGAAAATTTATAATAGATATCAAATATTTTAAACTTTGTGCGTAGCTCTTAGCTTGGTATCGTATGTCAAAGATTTTTCTTTGGCATACGATACCAATTACCAGGTCTCACCACGTGGAGGTGGCTACGCATCGAGACCCGACATGTGCCCTAGTGGCACAGCCTGCTGGCGCTATCCGTGTCAAAGGTTCCCTAACCTAACTCGGAGCGAAAGAAGTTAACGTGAAAATCTACTGACACTTTATTAAATTTCGTGTCTTACAAAGGGTTCGCGATTATTCGAAAGACCGACTAACCTACGCGACGCACTCCCGTGTACAAGACAAACTTCACATCTCTGCACCCTCCCGATCGGGCCTAGCCCACCCTGCCACCGCCGACCTCGCCATGGCTTACTCGATGACCTGAGGCAGCTAACGAACCAGTGAAACACCCAGAGGCAATCCGAGGGTCCTATGCGAGGCCTAACAGTCGGAATCACGCGCATGCTCCATACCCCGGTTCTATGCAAACATAACCACATAGCCACCAAGTGCTAGAGGGGCAGGCAGGCACGCTCTTGCAATGATTCCGACTGCAGGGCCCATCCCCCGGTCGTGTGCACGGATTGGCACCCAGGACGACTAAGGTCGACGGACCCTCGTATTGCTCCAAATGCCTCACCAGCCCGAGAGCCACCAAAGATCTCGATGCATGACGAGATTGACAGTGGCAGAAATGAGTGTCGGAGACGAGTCGTGAGAATGACTTACGAGACGCGGAGCTGACGAGTACACGGGAAGTACGTGCGTAGGCTAGTCGGTACTTAGGAACAGTCGCGAGATTATCGCGAGAACAATTATGTTCTGCTTGGTAAACGAAAGGGTTAAGTGGAGGATAAAGAATTTATATATTCGCTCCAAGTTCGGTGGGTTACCTTAGTTCAGACAGCGCGCACACGAGACTTAGTCTAGGGTTCTATCTTATGTTACAACTACTTAGATCTACTTAGATCTAAACACACACACACACACATTCAACGATGTCTTGAAAAACCTGAAAAGCTGAAACAGATTGTTAAGAGATTTGTAACACATATTAAAAACCAAACAAATATAAACCATAAATATCAATTAAATGGAATGAAGAACCCAACGATGAGATATAAAGAACCCAACAATGAGATATAAGGAACCCAACGATGAGATATAAAGAACCCAACGATGAGATATAAATAAACCAACGATGAGATATTCGAATATTATACGAAATATTGGAATAAGAATAAATAGAAACAAAAAATAAAACCTGAAAAATGAAAAAATAATTAAAACCTGAAAAAAGAAAAAATAATTAAAACCTGAAAGAAAAAATTAATTAATATCTGAAAACAAAAGAAAAATTATTAGTAAATTATTTAATGGGGTGGGATGAGGGTGGGGTGGCTAGCCCCAACCTCATTTCGGACCCCCACCCCTCGCGCACTACGAAAATTTAGATGTTACACTCGCGAGACCGAACCGACAAATGAGTTTTGCTGCGTCGCGTCGCCCTTTATATAGCCTCCGATCGGCCGTACCCCCCACCCCAATTACAAATTTCCAAACTTAACCGATTCTATTAATTTTTATTTTCCCGTGTTAATAACCAATAATTTAATAATTTTTCATTATTATTATAAATTTACATTCTGCACAATTTGTTACTCACAAAATTAATTTGTTATTAACAATAAGTGTATTAAGTTATAAACTTTTTAAAAACTATTCATACATTTTAACATAACTACGTTATAAATTCAAGTGATAGGCAATAATTAATAAATTTTTTCACTTTTATTATAAATTTACACTGTGGATATTTTGTTATTAACAATATATTTGCAAATCATCGGTACATTTTAACATTAATACGCTGTAAGTTCAAGTAATACCCAGTAATTTATTAATTTTTTCACTTTTATTATAAATTTGCATTGTGTACAATTTGTTATTTATAATAAATTTGATAATTTATAAATTTCGTTCCACTTCCACTAGGATTTATTAAAAAACTATCAATTTTAATTAGCCCCTATACGTTCTATCATTCTCTATGATAATACACCTACAAAAATGATCAAAGTTACACCTATTTCATGTTTAATAAAACAGATTAAGTACAATATCAGCCTCACGACAACCTATAGTAATAATCCATTATCATATTTAACATGAGACTCACGACGATCTATTCTATATAGACTCACGATCCTAACACGAGTATTCAATACAATCTTAACAAAAATAGTGTCCTGATGATCCAACCCAAGTAACCCCAATCCCACTAACATCGAACCCAAGCAATCTCACCAGACTCGTCACCAAACTCACCAGACCCAGAGATCCTTCGACACAGAGACCCCTAACTTCGCCAAAGGTAGACCCAGCAGACCCGATATTAGCTGCATGCAGCGCTATCTGCGCCTAATACCATAATTCTCTTCCTCGCGAAGCCTTGATACCACGATCCCAGCGATATCCCCGACGTACTTACCTTCACCGACGCATCCGTCAGTTGCAAGGAACCTCCTCCTCACCTTTCCCACACTCGACTTTCAAGAACCTCTCCTCTGACATCATTACAGCGCCATCACGACCGATGGAGTGACGCTAATGCACGATACACCGCTTCGTCCCCTCGAATGCTATGGCGGAATATCGAACAGGAGTGGGTGTTACGTTACGGGGTAACAGGAGTCTGATAATTCCTCTAATTCGATGGAAACCCATGCGACTGGTACGCCCTCTAGCAACAACTGTCCAGCCTGGTTCGCGTATACATGTTGATCCATTAAGTCCTCCAGACAACATTCCCGCCACTCGGTATATCGTTAACAACTGGATCTGATAACAGACCAGGCAATCTGTTTGCTCGTGATCTCGTGGCACGCGTGATTTCGACGTTGGATCATGTTTAGGAGAGGATTTTGGTTGCGCGAGATAGAGGCTGTCGTTTGAGATTCGGAATGAACGAATGGAGTTATTTATTTTCGTGGATGAGGTGTTTGAGATGCATCTAAGATCGAATTCTGAACGGAATGGTCTGAAAGAATGCAGTCGTTTGGGAGGATCGAAGGGTTTGAGTTAAAGCGGAGTTTAAACCGAACTTGGACCGGCTGGATGTCGAGAGAAAGCGAGCTGTTCGAACGTTCGACGTTCTATATAGCTACTTGGTCCCTTTCCAGCTGCCTGCTTTCTTTTAGACAGTTTGGTATTTTCGTGGTCGTTCAGTTCTTTCGAATCGTTCAATCTTTTTTTGATTATTCGATTTCTGTTGGGAATGGTTTGGTCCCTTCTGAAACGCTTCATTTTTTAGGAATTACGCGGTTTTCTACGAGGTCTATGACAGTTTTTGAATTATTCGGTCTATTTTCGAATTATTCGGTTTTTTATCGAATCCTTGGGTTTTCTCGAATCACTCGACTTTTTTGAATCCTTGGGTTTATTTGAGTCATTCGGTTTTTTTCGAATCATTCGATTTTTCTCGAATCACTCGGTTTTATTCGAATCCTTGGAATTTTTTAGGTCATTCGGTTTTTCTTGAATGACTTGGTTTTTTTTCGAATCCCTGGGTTTTCTCGAATCATTCGATTTTTCTCGAATCACTCGGTTTTATTCGAATCCTTGGGTTTTTCGGATCATTCGATTTTTCTCGAATCACTCGGTTTACTTCAATTATTCGACTTTTTGGATCATTCCCTTTTTCTCGAATCATTCGATTTTTTCGGATTATTCAGATTTTCCTGAATCATTTGGTTCTTCTTGAATCCTTCAATTTTTTCCGGATCATTGGGTTTTCCTCCAATTTTCCTCGAGTTTCTTTTGAGCCACTCGATTTTTTGCAGACTATTCGATATATTCAAGTACTTAATTTTAAATTAGGTTCGGTTCGAATGTCTAGCTGCTCGAATATCCGCAGAGTTCCGACACCTCTGTCATGAGAAACGTTTGCCTTCTTCCGTATCGGTACACGTGGATGCAATTCCCTAGATAATTAGAATGCAGATTATGCAGTAGCTGGGGATTTCGCGGACTCGAACGAGCGTCGAGGGGATTTGTAAATTCGCCTGCAAGGCAACGCTGATATTTATCAGCCTAGATTGCTAGGACACGAATGATCGATCGACGATCAGATTTTCCTCGCTGGTTTCACGATCGTGAAAAATTGTTTTTCGACCTCTAATTAGCATTCGAGCGGTTTTATCATCGACGACGTAAAAACTCGTATCTCGCGAGTTTAATGACGAGAATTAGTTATCTTATTACTTTCATGACTCATCAGTCTTCAGTTTAGGTACTGAGATATTTCAAATATTACTCTAATCGCGATAACGAAAGAACGAAACACCAAAATTCGTTTCATCATAGTATAAATTCTTTCAAAATTCTCTTTTAAGCCTATTCTTGATCCATCTTTAATTCGAATCACTGTAATTAAATTGATACTGCAATTTACATAACGACATCTAAATTCTTATTTTTATTTTGTCTCCATTAATAAAATAACGTTTGATCATAGTATTGGTCCTTTCAAAATTTGTCGAAGTCTACTCTTACAATTGGTCTATTTCTACTCAGGACCCCTGCAATTAGAATAATACTGAAAATAAAATACCCAATTTACATAACGACATCTAAATTCTTATTTTTATTTTGTTTCCATTAATAAAATAACGTTTGATCATAGTATAATATATAGTTATAGTGTAATAATATAAAGTATATAGTATAGTTTGACCATAGGTCTTTTTAAAATTTATCAAAATCTACTCTTAGATTTTTTATTTTATTTCCATTAATAAAATAACGTTTGATCATAATATAATATATAGTTATAGTGTTATAATATTTAGTATATAGTATAGTTTGACCATAGGTCCTTTCAAAATTTATCGAAATCTACTCTTAGTCTATTTCTACTCAGCCCCCTCCCCCCTGCAATTAAAATAATATCCAAAATAAAATACCCAATTTACATAACAATTATTCTGTCTCCATTAATGGAACAATTTTCGTTTAAAAAAGGAGAATACTGTCATATAAATAAATTCACAGAAATTCCTAATATTTCCTTCACCAACCTAACATTTAAAATTTTTAAATATTTCCCTATTAAAACTCATATCTATGTATTTACTTATTTCGTCGATAATTGTACGTACATATATTGTGCTGTCGCGTAAAGGAATTTTTAGAATCAGGGAAGAGTAGAATTTTCGAGATTCTCGAGGGAAAGTGAAAGTGAAAGAGGGATGTTTTGGGTGTTGCAGACATGGAAGAGGAGTGTTTCCCGGCGATCTCGATGAACACCGCGTCGGGACGCGACGAGATGCCCTCGTCGTCGTCCACGTCGTCTACCTCAGCAATTATCCTAAAGAGAAGGAACAACATAGTACCTGAAGACGTGGAGTGCGCCGAGATTAAAGGGGAACCCCTGAGCGCGCCCAGCAGCCCCTCGGAGTCTTGTCAGACGACCATGGTCGACGACAAGAGCACCATAACCATGGTGTTCCCTCAGAGTCTTCACTTCTCCAAGAACCACATGTCGCAGACCAGCGACAGCGAGGAAGACGACGAGGAGTATTATCAGGTACCTCTTCGTTTCCATTTTATTTTTATTTAATTCCTTTCCTTTCTTTTTTTTTTTTATTTATTTTTTCGTGTGAAGTTTTTGGACCAGATTGGCTTCTATCGAATTAGGGGGTTTTCAGGAACAGGTATCTCGAGTTAATTCAACGAGCAACGAGCGATTACGAGCACTTATTATTTGTTTTGTCCGTAGACAAGTTTGAATATTCTTTATTTATGAATGTATGGGTTAAATTTGGAAATCTTTTGGTTTTGCATAAAAAGAAGGCCACTGGTTCGAAGCTTAATATATGTGATACTATCATAATATTCTAAAGAGTGAGGGGAGGTTAAGATTTGAGAATTGAATGATTATTAATAATAAAAATAAATTTCTTAGTGTCTGTGAATATTTTCTATTCATGGGAACAATTATTAAATTCTAAAATTTAAAAACATAATAAAATATTCTGAAGAAGGGAATTAAGATTTGAGGATTGATTAAATTATATTAATAATAAAAATGAATTGCTTAGTGTCTGGGAATATTTTCAGTTCATAGGAATAATTATTAAATTCGAAAATTTAAAAAAATAATAAAATATTCTAAAGAGGGGAGTTAAGATTTAAGAATTAAATTATATTAATAATAAAAATAAATTGCTTAGTGTCTATGAATATTTTCTATTTATGTTAATAATTATTACATTGCAGAATTTATAGAAATAGTAAAATAATATGAAAAAGTAGGTTAAAATTTGAGAATAGAAATGTTATATTTCTCTTTTCTTCTGTATATAATATTTTCGAATATTTTCTATCTAAAAATTTTTCGATGCTGTTGAAGTATCATCATAAAGGAGAATCGTGAGATATGCGAATATTCCAGACGATCAGGGTAGTAAAAGTGGCTGGATAGAAGAATCGCATAGAGGGGTGAATTTTGCACGAAATTCTTTCTAACACTTTCAAGTTAAATCGTTAAAACGGTATAACAAATGTTCATACGATCCAGCAAAATTACGTCGCAAATGTTCATGTTTTATTCATAGCTACGCGCGGACACCTGTTCTAACAGATAAGGCTGAACATTGGATTGTAGTTAATTATTATTGGACCTGCGGCGTTGATATAGATATAGAGACACCTGCTGAAAGTTTCGAAACCGAGCACTTGTAATTTTCACGGTAAAGTAACTTTTATTAAGTTCACTTTAAATATTTAGCATAATTATATCTTCCTCTTTCTGCTTCAAATTATTCGTATTATAGACAAACCTTCATTTAAAATCTTATTTTTAATATCGACCTGAAAGTGGCCAAATAAATTACTCGATGCACACGAATACATTTTTACCTGTTTCTAATAATTAAATTTTTCAATTCTTCGTAATTCATAATTGGGACTTCCGAACTTCAAATATACCCTCATACTAATTTTCATACATTTCACAATCGATGAAATAAAAATAAATATTCTTGATATCCCATTTTTTCAATTTTCTCGTTAATTATAACTCGAAATTTTATCCTTTATGCCTGATAATTCATTGAAATAAATAAAAATATGAAAGGAAGACTTCGAAATACTCTAACAACAAATTTCCACCTTTTATAGCACCTAAGTTCTTCAATTTTTCCTAATTCAAAATTTCTCTTTC